TATCTACAATGGAGCAATTTCATGGAGTTATTCAGGAGGTGTTTCTCTCGTATCTTCTGATGTTTTATCATGCACAGATAATTTGTTATTTTCTGAATGATTCACCGTACTTGAATTGGAATTAATTGCGACTTTTTTGATGACTTTATAAGAATTTTTATCAGCACGAATGATTCCTTCAGATATGGTTCCATCCCGTAATAAGTTTCCAACCGCTCGCATTCCAGTTTCAATATCAATATGTTCATCAGCAGTTTCTATGTCTGAAACTTCGCTATTTCTTTGATCATCCAAATCTTCAAACTCGAAGACCGAAGAAAAATGTAAGAATGAGATCCCCTCTTGAAAAAAGCTTTCAGAGGCTTGAAAAACGATCCATCAAGTGGTTGTAGGGCTTGGGTGGTATGGCTGGGGAGACATAGTAAAATGATATTGTTACTTTCGGCAAACTCTAGCATTTCAGAATTATTGCAATGAGATGCATGGCCATCAAGTATCAAGACGACAGGACCATCTAACTTTCTGGGAGCGAATATTACCTTCAACCATTCGAAAAATAATTCAGAATTGATGAATGACGATTGCTTATTCATATAAAGATCAGATTCAGCAGGCATTCCTTTTGAGGTCATCATATTTTTTCGTACTCCTCTGAGGATGAGCACTGGTCGTAGAAAAGTTCCCTCAGCATTTGCACATGCTATAACAGATACGTTTTCTCCTCTTTCTCCAAAAGTCAGAACATGAACACATTTGCTCCCTCTGACAGCCACTACTTTATCAGGTTTATTATTTATTTGAAGATAGCCCATGGTTTCTGCACCAAGTCATACTTTTCTAGAGTTGTTCTCAACAGCTCGAAACACTCATTTACTTCATGCCGATTCGAACCTTTTGCCCTTGCTAGTGATGAACCTTCACTTGGATGTCTATCCATAAATGAATAGAACCAATGCATACCTGCTGTTTCTGTCATCTCGCCTTTCGAGGAGAATATATGTTCAAGGTGGAGTTTTTTTTAGCAAAACTAAAAGCAATTGATCTGACAGTTGCCCTTGTTGGCGCGGATCCTGATGCCTGTTGTTTTTTTCATATAAATCACTAAACGAATTTCGTTGAACTCCCCATGAGCAGAAGGCTTTCCCAGAGACATTTTCCTGAAGTTATCAGAAGTGATTCTCCTTCTGAGAGTTCTAGATGGAATATTGAATCTCCTACTGGATTCATTGATGCTCATATTTCCGGATTTTACATTTTCAATGGCTTGCTTCAAATCTTGTTCAGATCACAAAACACGTGGTCTTATATTTGGCTTCCTTATGTATTTTCTTTGCATCTGATCCTGATCATGCTGTTGACTTAGGTGAACAGGTTCGCTACCTTGATAAAGTTTAGCAGCCTCTTCAACAAATCATTCTTTGAAAATGCCTCTTGAGAGTTTACTGCTCCCAGAAGGTTGTATCTCCAACGCGCTAGTGCTTCGCACTCCAATATTACATGGGTGGCAGTTTCCTCCTCCTCATTGCATAGTCTGCATATGGGTTCGTCTTTATAGATGCCCATTTGATGCATATGTTGCCTCAAGGGGCAGTGACCGGTTATTAGTTCCGTCAATTGTTTGATCTGACTTCTGTTTAGGCTCAGAATGTCGTTTGTCAACGTTTTGGACAGTGTTCCAACTATCAGTTTAATGTGTCTCTGTGCTGGGACATTGTTTCATTATGCCTGATGTCTTTCTTGCATCCACCATGCCAGCCAGCCGCGTATTGAGGTTTTGGGGATACCGAACACAGGTTCCGGTTCCATAAACAACGTCGAAGACCCTTGCTTGGCAAGAGCGTCAGCTGCCTCATTGCCTTAAATTCCCTTATGCCCTGGCACCCATTGAAGAGTTACCTTGTTGTGGTTAGCCAGGGTTAGCAGGCTTTTAAGGCAATCCCAGACCAGTTTTGATATGATTTTATTGCATGTTAAAGGTTGAATGGCCGCCTGACTATCTGAGCATATGAGGATTTGTTCACCTCTGTATCCTCTTACAATATTCTCTCCCAGGCATGCCTCAATAGCATGCACTTCTGCCTGGAATACTGAAGCATACCTCCCCAAGGAAGCACACATCCTGGTTTTGGGTCTATCTCCATATATTCCGGCTCCCGTGCCCTCATCAGTCTTAGAACCGTCAGTGTACCACACTAACGTGCCTTCCTGTCAATTAGTCAAGACCATTTCATCCCGGTAGAGCTGAGTGTTGAAGGGTCTGTAATAGTTATTTCTAGGCAGCATTGTGTCCCTTTTATTCATTAGTGGGCCTGAAACTTGGCTGATTATTTTTGTATGTCCCAGGGAGTCACCCCGAGCATGCCAGTTGCCACTACACTCCAGTATGTATGCCTTCATCTTCGCTTCCGCCGTGATATGATAACTTGGTAAATGGTGTCCAAGCGTCAACTAAAAATGGCTAGCGTACACTTATGCTACTGGACTTATCAGAGTAAATCGACTCTACGCGTATATCTTGCGCGCTCGGGGCACATATCCTTCTAAGGTGTTCATCCCAAATTTACCCTGAATATAATGTGGTAATAACAACGTCGTGATAATGATAGCAGAGTCGGTTCGATTTGGGATAGAAATAAACATCTCATGGCGATTTTCAATTCACGATTTCTCTTCATCTCTTGGAGCGCGTGGGAGGAAATTGCTATAATGTTCGTGGAACATCGTATGCGTACCTAGGGAGGAGAGGAAGAGGAGGTAGGTATTGGAATTTTTTTCGAACATTTAGAGGTAATAATTTCTTTAAATTACTTCCATTGGCAAAGAATTTCAAAGCTTCGCCGTTCTATAGACGAACAAATTCTGGTAGAGTAAAAATTTTTTGAGTATCAGGAGCGATAATGGTGGTTTATTGATCGAAAACATTGTTCAAATGCTAAGCGAGAGGGAGCATCAATATTATCTGACACTTGTGATAGTTTCATGTTACGAATCTGATTTTAGGTATATCTACTATATCTAGTAGGCTATATCCACCAAGTGACACTTGCCACTTTGATCTCCACTGGCGACGCACGGCGTATGTTTTTCGCTGAAACTGCTGCAGTTGACTATATCTATTCAGTTCTCGTCTCTAGTCGAATTCTATTTCTCCTATTGAATGTCGTTGGAACAACTTGTAACCAAAATTCCACGAAATGTCCTTGTGAATTAAATATCAACGTATTGTGATATATAACATTGAATGGCACTATATGCACCATTTCCTTCGAACATTATAGGACTCTACTTTAGTGCGCATTGGGATAAAAAAAATACAAGATGGAGATATAATGTGATTTTTTGTGAAGTGATTATACCTAATACCTGCAGATATGACCAGTGATTTCTTACATTGCCAAGGTTACATTCGTAATGAAATTCTCACTTTATTTATGAGGTACGGACGTTAACTGAACAATAATATGTCACTTCTGCTCTTGCCAGAAAGTATCCTTCAGTATGTACAATAATAAATGATGCGATTAAATTTTTGTCAATTTCTCAGTGAATTATTTTTGATTGCATACATACATTTCCACTGTCTCATAAAATTGTTGCAGTTTCTATCAAAATGTATATTGTAATCGATATCAAATCCCAATTGATTGAGTAGAAACTATACACAAAAGATATAGCTTAGATGGCACATACATACGTTGGGTGAAGCGAATATATAATATGTTAATCAAGAAAGAAAACTCGAAGTCTTCTCCACAAGTTCAATGTTGAAAAAGATGCAGTCAATCATGATTCAATAAGACGAAAAAAAAAGCTTCCGCCTTCACGATGTTTCAAAAATTTTCCACATAAACTCGATGTACCAATGCGACTATAGATGGCCATTTTAATGGCCAAAACATGTCTTCAACCTTATCGAAGCAGGAGTGACTTCTTCTTTTTCAACATCAAACTTGTGGAGGCGACTTCGAGTGTTCTTTCTTGATCATTCCCCTCCATTTTGGGTATGGACTACTACAGAAGATATACTTTCATTGAAATGATCAGAGATCATCAATGGTACATGTTTCGGGCTTATATAAGCCCATCATCTGCCGATGAAATATTTCAAAGTTATGGAAGTGAAAAGAGTTGGAATTCAAATAACGTGGACAATAACAGAGCAAACAAAGGCAACTGCTCCATGATTGTTAATGTGAAATTGTGTTTTTATAGAAAAAGTATAAAAATTTCAAAAATTCTTATGAAATGATTATTCAAGGGTCGGGTTCATATTTTATAAGGGCCAACGTACCCTCAAATCACCGAAAAGTGGCAATTACCCAAGAAAATATCAAACTAATGAAAAAGAAAATATCAAACTAATGAAAAGTATGATGTGGCTTCGAAAATAACCTCCTACTTAGCTGGTTATTTCCGAAGCCACATCATACTTTTCATTAGTTTGATATCTTCTTGGGTAATTGCCACTTTTCGGTGATTTAAGGGTACGTGGGCCCTTATAAAATATGAACCCGACCCTTGAATGATCATTCCATAAGAATTTTCAAAATTTTTATACTTTTTTTATAAAATCACAATTTTACATTAACAATCATGGAACAGTTGCCTTTGTTTGCTTTGTTATTGTCCACGTTATTTGCATTCCAACATTTTTCACTTACATAACTTTGAAATATTTTATCGGCTGATGATGGGCTTATATAAGCCCGAAACATGTTCCATTGATGATCTCTGATCTTTTCAATGAAAGTTGTGGAGATGACTTTGGGTTTTTCATCTATGAACTACACCACTCCACTTTGAGTTACCATGGACTTCTTCCAAAGAATATACTTTCTTTTTGAGTTCTGGTTTCCACAAAAAGGCATATCCTGTGATCTTCAGAGAACATCGTGGGAACCAAGCAAAATAAGGTTGGAATTGGTGTTCTTCTGGAATTTCTGGAGATTTATCTGCCTCGGGGAACACCTCCCATTGCCAATGTGAATAATAAAGACAAAAAATATCACTAAATTTTATTATAATCCATTCATTCATAATTATATCAAGATGAATATACAAACATATGGGTTAACTTGTCACAATATCAAGTTCATGTTTTCCTGTTGCATTTCTTAATCTACCTGCAATAGCACCACCGCTTTCTTCAACCATCTTGCTGAAATGTCCATCAGGAATCAGTAAGAGCTGGCACGGTGTTCCGAATTCTACAACACTTCCATCGACCATCACTAACACTTTATCATAGTCAATGATTGTATCTAGTCTGTGTGCGATGGTCAAAACAGTACATTCCTTGAAACTTCTCCTGATAGTTGTTTGAATCACGGAATCAGTACTGAAAATGAATGAAATTGAAGTAGTTATATAATCAGATACTGGTAATTTGACAGAGGGATTCATGCACAAACCTTAGCGATATTGAGATTGTTACCGTATGCCCTTCTCAAAAGCACTCGGAATTACAGTATCAGAACGGCGGAATAAAATTTTCTTTTAGGACTTGATGGTTCAATATGTTTATAGCTGCTGAAATTACACGCGGGATATCGAAAGAACTATTTATTCAATATAGAAAATAACTAAATTAACAACGTGTCAAGGAACAGTTTTTTCTGACATTCGTTTTCAATTCTTGTCAAAAACTTCTCTGGTTACAGAGTGATCTGTGTACACCCACAGCACCCCCCTGCTAATGATATAGTATCACGAAAAACTAACTTGCAAGCGATCGGGACGTCTTGCTTTTCTACCAGCTCTTGTGTGCGTAGTGTTTGGAAGAATTTCATCCGAATCATCTTGTGCCATGTTCTCCGTACTGTTGCCTTCGTGATCAATCATGATATAAGCTGGTTTTATTCGGTCAATAGATACTGTGGTCTCTCTTCCATTGAGAAGAATTTCGAATGATCTCTGATCTCGACTAATTACTTCATAAGGTCCATCATAAGGTGGTTGCAAGGAACTTTTTGGAATATCACATCGAATCAATACATGTGTTGCCGTATCCAAATCTTTGAAAATGAAACAATTCTTTTTTCCATGTTTCTTCCCTTCAACTGGACGTAGGTTTTGAAAATGTGTGAGTAACACTTTGACGAATTCCGTCGCAGTTAAATCGTCTTTTGTTTGACGGCGTGCTACTAGGAACTCTCCTGGAAGTCGTAAGGTTTGTCCGTATACTAGCTCTGCTGAAGTTGCTTTCAAATCTTCTCGCCATGCTGACCTTATACCAAGTAGAACTAGTGGTAGTGCTTCTGTCCAATTCTCGTTTTCGTGGCACCTTATGGCTGCCTTGAGTTGCCTGTGTAACCTCTCTACCATTCCATTGCTAGCAGGATGATAAGCAGTGGTCCGAATATGTTTCGTTCCCATCAACTTGCTCAGCTGTTGAAACAGTTGTGATTCGAATTGACGACCTTGATCTGTGGTGATTCTAAGAGGTGTACCAAATCGAGAGATCCAGCCTTGTATGAGCGCTGATGCAACAGTCTTTGCCTCGATATTTTCCAGTGGAATAGCTTCAGGCCAACGCGTGAAACGATCAACACACGTTAGAACATACCGAAAACTCTGTGAGATTGGTAACGGTCCAACGATGTCGATATGAATGTGTTCAAATCTTGATGTTGGGGGTACAAAAGATCCTATGGGTGCCGAAACATGTCTGGTTATCTTGTTACGCTGACAAAGCATACATGTACGGACCCATTTTCGACAATCAGATTTCATTGATGGCCAGACGAAACGTTCACTGACTAGTTTCACCGATGAGTTAATTCCTGGGTGTGCTAGTTGATGTACTGAATTGAAAACTGATCTGCGGAATGATTTTGTAATGAATGGTCTAGCTATACCAGTAGATACATCACAATGTAGTGAAATATCAGTACCTGGAAGTTGCACTAATTTGATATTCAGGACAGAACTTCTATTGATGTATCCTTTTAATTCGATATCCTCCTTCTGAGAAACAGCTAGAGCTCGGAAATCGATTGGTTCCGTCACTTCCTCAATTCGTGAGAGCGTATCTGCGACGACGTTATCTCTTCCTGATATATGGCGAATATCAGTAGTGAATTGGCTAACAAAATCTAAGTATCTAAACTGTCTTGGCGAGCATTTCTCTGGTTTTTGTTTGAACGCGAATATTAACGGCTTATGATCTGTGAAGATTGTAAACAGCCTACCCTCAACCATGTGTCTAAAATGCTTGATGGCTAGGTAAATGCTGAGCAGCTCACGATCATAGGCTCCATATTTACATTGTGCTGCGTTGAGTTTTTTAGAGAAAAATGCAAGTGGTTGCCAGTCATCACAAATCTTCTGTTGCAACACAGCTCCTACCGAGAAATCAGAAGCATCGGTAATTATTGCTAGTGTCGCTTGCTTTGCAGGATGAGAAAGTAATGTTGCCTCAGCTAGTTGACTTCTACAAACTATGAATGCTTTGTATGCCTGTGACGTCCATGTAAGTGTTTGTTTGCCCTTCATGTTTCCTTGCAATAGGGCATTCAAAGGAGCTTGAAGAAAAGCGGCGTTTGGTAAAAAACGTCGATAAAAATTCAGCATCCCTAGGAAACGTCTGAGATCTTTTGCTGTTTTAGGTTGGGGAAATTCCTGAATAGCCTTGACTTTATCATCCAAAGGTTTTGTCCCTGTCATCGACACACAATAACCTAGAAATTTGGCCTCTGGAACTCCAAAAACACATTTCGATGAGTTGATGACTACTCCATAACTTCGTAGGCGTTTGAAAATTTCTTCCATATGTTGCATATGTTCCTCTTCTGATGATGAAGCAATCAATATATCATCAATGTATGCATACGCATAATCAAAGTCACGGAGAATTTCATCTATAAATCGTTGAAAAGTCTGTGCAGCATTTCTTAAACCAAAAGGCATGTATATGTACTCGTACAAACCGAAAGGTGTGGTTATTGCTGTTTTTGGAATGTCTTCCGGAGCTACAGGTATTTGGTTATAGGCACGAACCAAATCTATCGTGGAGAATATGCATTTACCTTGAAGATTATGTGCAAAATCCTCAATATGAGGTACTGGGTACCTATCTGGAATAGTTCTGTCATTGAGACGGCGATAATCCCCACATGGCCTCCATTCATCCCCTTTTTTCGGTACCATATGTAGTGGAGATGACCAGTTGCTTTTGGAAGGTCGAATGATGCCCATTTGAAGTAACTTTTTGAATTCTTCTTTAGCAATCGACAATTTATCCGGTGCAAGTCTTCGTGGTTTAGATCCTACAGGAGGTCCAGGAGTCGTTTCAATATGATGAAAAGTTGTATATTTTACACCATCAAAATGACCCATCGGACGTGTGACTTGTGGATAACGTGCCAGTAATTCATGATATTTTGATGATCCAGAAATAGTTTTTATGCTACTATGTCCAAATTGTGCCACTCGTGCACTTACAGTAAAGGATGTCTTGCAATCTACCAATTGACGATTTGCTATGTCTACCAATAAACTGAAATGTGCTAAAAAATCAACACCTATTATTGGCTTAGTAACATCTGCTACAACGAATCGCCACGTAAACTCTCTACGTAAACCAAAATTCAATGCTAAAGTGATGAATCCATATGTAGAGATAGGAGAATTGTTTGCTGCGAAGAGTTCATATGATGATTTTTCGCGTCGACCTCGTACGAAAGAACGTGGATAGACACAAAGATCAGCTCCCGTGTCGATCAAAAATTGTGTTTTCATATCTTGATCGGTAACAAACAGGCGGCGGGATTCGGGGCAGTGAGTTGAAGCCGCCATCAATGACTGCCCTGATCGTTTTCCTGCGTGAATGCACATGGTGAGGTACACTTCAATGATTTATCACCAAAACGCCAGTGATACCAACAAAGATTGCCTCGTGATCCCCTGCTATGGCTTCGTTCTCGCATTTTCCTACTGTTGATGGATGGGCTCCTATGCGAGCGGCGATTTCGTGATGAATTCATTTCTGCGACGTTTTGTTGAAGGTTGTCAGATAAGACTGTCAAACGAGCACTCATAGCTGCCATACTACTACTGAGTTGTTCGATCACTACTTCCAATTTCTTGGTCCTGTCGCTCTCACCTGATGTTTCTGCTACGGAATGTCGTGGAAGAGCCTCTGCAATAGTATCCGCTAGCTCAGCTACTGTACTGATATCCGATTTTGTTTGGGTAGCTAGAATGGCTTGTATTGATTTCGGAAGACGACCGAGCCACAAAGAACGTACTATGGATTCTGGGACTGCGATTCCAGCTAATCCTTGGAGATGCCGTAAAAATTGCGACGGTTTCCTGTCACCTAACTCCTCATGTTCTAACAACCTTCGCGTTTTTTGTTCCTGAGTTGCACTTAGTCGCCCTATAAGTTCTTTCTTCAGCTTGTCATACTTGCCCTCGTCGGGAGGATTAGCAATGATATCTCGAACTTCAGCAACATATGTAGAATCGAGGTTCGCAATAATGTAGTTGAACTTCGTATTGTCGCTCGAAATACTTGCTATCTCGAAATTCTTCTCTACTTGCCAAAACCAGATCTCTGGGTCTTTTGCCCAGAATGGAGGAATTTTCACCGATATTCGGTTGACTTCATGATTAGCGGTGGCATTAGTAGTCATTTTCAAAAAAAATCCAATGCCAAGTCTCGAACTATCACACCGCAGATCACGTCGGGGTCACCACTTTAGGACTTGATGGTTCAATATGTTTATAGCTGCTGAAATTACACGCGGGATATCGAAAGAACTATTTATTCAATATAGAAAATAACTAAATTAACAACGTGTCAAGGAACAGTTTTTTCTGACATTCGTTTTCAATTCTTGTCAAAAACTTCTCTGGTTACAGAGTGATCTGTGTACACCCACATTTCTTATTATTATTATTGTTGATAATTCGCTTTCTTTAGTTTCCGTTCGACTATCAAGTAATCGGAATCATATCGCCAATTAGTATTTCACCCTCAAAATTATTCGAGTGAACGAAGGGATCTTATGCAATAAATGCTTATCGTAATAGTTATTTATGTACCATGAGCGTTATATAGATCCTAACGCCCGAAGGGTACCATTCACCCAAGTGCCTTTGGCCCGAGGGAATCATGATGCCTGATGGGCGGCAGGATATAGTCACACTCGTTGAGCACACAAAATTTCATTCTTCACAGCAAAACTGAATCATCTCGATGAATAATTGATTTTAAAAAGCGGTTCATTGCGTCAAGTATTTTTTTTTTTTCAGTTTCATGTATATACGCCAAGGATTATGAAGTGTTATTGGCGTACTTTCAAGATATGGTATGTAATTATAGTGGAAGGAGAAGAGGGTGTGCTCAACGGAAAGCTCAAACTCGTCTTGTTCTGCGCATGACGTCAGCTGGGATATAGCTGTCATTCATATTATTTGTTTTCGTGATTGATGTCTCGAACTTCAGATATTATATTAGTACTAAAATTGAATGAAATAATTTCGAAATGCCTACTTGTTTCGTTTCTGGTTATGGAAATTCCAACTAACATACAAAAGGCACAGGTATTGAATTTTTCTGCTTTTCCAAGAACGGAGACCTAATGAAACGATGGAAGATGGCTGCCGACAGAATATAAACTCATATAATGGTATAATACCTACCTTATATTCCTCATATCCTCATTCCAAAGTATTCACCTATCATATTATCATCACATTCATATTACATCACGGATTTCTTCAAAACATTTCCATGCAAAATGTTCCCAAACAAGTGCGAAAGAACGGTTCTTGAATTACTTAGACACCTCTAAAAAATCACAAATATTTGAAACAAGATGCCATTCCTACAGAACATCTTCGGAATATCAAGTCAGAATTATTGAAAATGAATTCAAAACTCTTAATTTCTCACAAAATATAAATTGCAGCAAATATTTGAATAACAAAACGGCAAAAATTGATACTCCTGTTGCCGATGTCGGAGCCAAGTCGGAGCAGAAGCAACGTCAACGTCGTTAACTGCTGAATTTTAATCTGTCAGAATCGACACAGTAGTGGATCATTCAGATGGAATTGGCAATGCATGATAATTAGTATGTATTTGCTATTTGCGATTGCGAATTATCTCAAGATCACAATTTCCATAATCAATGAAATAGTAAAATTGAAGGAATAGGTACATGTTTATATAAATTGAATTTTTTCTAAACAGATCGAGAAACTTATAGAAATTTCAATAAACCATGATTGAATTCATTGCGCACGCCCATGGCAACGGTATCTGTCTGTGACTAGCAGCTGATATTGGTATCCCAGATGACGTCACATAATATGCGCGTAGGCACACCATCTTCTCCTTTCACTATGGTATGTGATTATATGAATTATAGAGGAAACAATTAGCGGACGTTATGAGTCGATTGATAGCAACCGTTGCCAAGGTATTATAAAACAGTTTTGGACAAGTGAAAATTGAAATTATGTATGTTAACAGTTTTTCATCGCACCCAACGATTGCCTATTGGAAACTCAAAACTATCCTCTCAAGAAAATACAAATAATTGAATCAGAAATTCAGGAATGGTTTGAGATAACTTTCTAAAAACAAAACAACAATTCAAAAGCGAGAGTACTCTTGAAGAATTATTCCCTACAAGTTGATGACATTTCTTAGACTCACCATAATCCAAGATGACATCAATAAAAATGAATCATATGCTGAAATCGATGAGCTCAAAACTATAACAGTCTGACCTGTTTAGTTGAAAAATCTGTTCCTGATATTCTCTCTCTGCAGAACTTCTCATTCTCAAATCTCGAATTCTGTTTATAGATACATTTCAACTGATACTCAGAAGAAAAATGAATACGTTATCGCGAATGATAGCTCCATCTATCATTCAAATTTCAAGTGAGGTAGTCGTGAACATTTTCGATACTTCAATCGATGAATTCCTGATATTACAGATTTTTGTAACTCACTGATGATCCACGTTTGCAGTAGCTTCATCCATCACCAGGATTTTGTTATTTCTGATGATCGCTCTGGCAAGACAAAGTAACTGCCTCTCTCCTACACTGAAGTTAGTACCACCCTCACAAACTTCTTGATTCAGACAATTGATCGAAGGTTTGAGTCCAACCTGAAAGTATATAAATATAAATATACATTCTAAAATCAATGTCAATACTCTAATGTATCAAACTCTATCGTACATCCATTTTTTGATACGAATTGAGATATGGAATACGAATTTTCCCCATTTTGGTTGATATTTGAGTAATTATGATGATATGTGCTGACGTATATCATCTTACATCGGATAGAGCTTTCCAGATGATATCGTCCTCCACATCATTGAATGGATCTAGGTTGTAACGTATAGTGGCTGAAAATAAAACTGGCTTCTGAGGTATGATGGATATATGAGACCTTAGGTATTCCAAATCTACGTTGGATGTTTCTATTCCATCTATCGTAATGGAGCCATCTATGAAGGCTAGCCTGAATAAGGACGAAATCAGACTGGATTTACCTGCACCGGTTCTCCCGACTATCCCGATCTGAAAACAAATAATATTCTCATACTCTCATGATCGATTTAAGAGAACATATAAGCAATATCAATCAGTAAAACAGATTCCGCAATAGTCAGGGATTTTCAACTAATGAAGAATAAAAGAGGAAACAAGAGATATCGACATTCATGATGGCGTCAGAGTTGATGAAGACAGTAAGAAGATTACTGTTTGTCAAAATGAGTTGTCTTCAGAGCAGATAAAAGTTTATGACATGGTTTGAAAGAGTTTATTCGATCATAAGACATTCGAATAATTGATTGGTTCTTGATAACAGATTCATCGCAACGATTGTCTGCTAGATGCATCTTTCAAGTTATAATCATTATCATAGGTTTGCACCAATCGTGTTCCCGCTAATTATCTGAGCGTCCTCGCATACAGTAGCATAATGAAACTGATTTAAATCTGCATAAAGAATTCGAAATTCTCAATGATCATATAATATTTGCTAATACTCTCATCTTTGTATTCCAGTAATGAATTAATACCACGGATAACAATATGCATACGGCTATTGCTTTGGAGAGTACTCTTATTCCTCTTGTAGCATTTTCTATCCAGAATTGCTTGAGTAAAGAATATTGATGGAACAATTCTAGTAACTTAGATACGAACCAATCATCCATTTGGGAACCAATAATTATTCAAAGAAGGGAAGATTTGTATTTCGTGCAAAATATTTCATTCAATATTTGTAGCAGAGCGCTTTCGACTGTTAAGTCATCATCAGTGCGTACCTGTTAGTAAGTAATCTGCTTTTAGCTATTCGAAAGAAAATGAAATTGAAAATTGGAAGAAAAAAAATTTCTAAAACATTTTTGAAAAATATTTTGGATTTTTTTTTTAAAATTTGCTTAATATTGAAAAATTGAAATTTAAAAAATACATTGGTGACTTGTTACTATTTGATGAACTTTTGATTCTAAAAAGACATTATATAAAATCGAAATTTGTAATTGTTAGATATGAATTTGGAAAGTGATATAAAAGTGGGGTTACTTACTCGTCAGGTTAACAGAAAAATTCGTCCACAAAAATATCTTTGGTCCAGTTTTGAACAAACGACATTGGGGTGAAATACGTTACAAACGAATTAAAATGTGTTTCCCAAAAGGGGGTGAAATATAGATTACATCGAGTTAAGCAGCCATTGTCGCTGCGACATGTCGTGTTGAAGTGAACTTGATGAGTGACGGACCTTGATTCAATTGTCATTGAACGTACTGAACTGATGGAGGCAAATTTGAAGTTGACATGCACGACATGACATCCAAGACATGACATGTGTCCAAAGAAAATCAAGAATGTTTATTATGAAATATCAGTGGAAATAAACATTATGAATTCGGGAAGAAATAGCCAAGTCCCTAAGGAGCGAATGTTTCGTTGGTCTAATGAGAACCTAACTAACATGTCACTCAATAGTCTGGTTTATCAAAATGCAACAATTCAACAAGTGAATACACCAGGGAATCCCAGTTGAGCCTAATGAGAGCTCACATAAGTTATTCCAGATGTTATCAAAAGTTGAACAAATTCAACTGTCAAACAACCTATTAACACAAAAAAGGTTTGAAAATCCAAGAATCTGTATCTGTCTGACAGATTCATTTCACTCCCATTTATTAACAATCATATTTCAAACAAAATATCTGGCTATATTAAAAACAAAATTGAGAATGTCAAAATTTCTTACTTCTTTTCTTCTTTCTTATTAAATATGTCTTTCTCAAATCAAAAGTTCATCAAATAGTAACAAGTCAACTTATTTTTTATATTTCACTTTTTCAATATCAGGCAAATTTCAAAAAAAAATGTTTCCAAAATATTTTTCAAAAATGTTTTAGAATTTTTTTCGAATTTTCAATTTCAATTTCTCTCGAATAGCTGAAAGCAGATTACTTACTTACAGGTACGCACTGATGATGACTCAACAGTCGAAAGCGCTCTGCTACAAATATTGAATAAATGATTTCGCACGAAATACAAATCTTCCCTTCTTTGGTATATATTCACGTGCACACAGCCCAGCAATCCTCACTGATAATTATTCATACTTTTAAATCCTAATAAGTTGATGTAATGAATCACCTGATTAAATTTCTTCTTCAGGCAACCTGATTTTGTTTCTTTTCAACCAAGCAACTCACATCTATTTAATGTACAGGGTGATTGACTATGGATTTCTCGACTTCAACAGCTGATATCTCGAAAACGAAAAAAGATATTTGAAATTTGGAAAAAGTTATTTGAATGAGATGTCATTTTCTTCTGGAAAATGTGTTCTCTGCTCGATTTTATCATTTCATATACAGGGTATGTGAAAAAAATTTTTTTCTCCAAATGGAACCCCCTGTATATTATCGCATATTTCGAAAGAGCTATCTTTCCTGATTTTGAAAATATATACTTTCCATATATTCTATCGAGTGCTTGACGAAATATCAGCAAAATTAAATATTAATATTTGGTCCAAGTTAGCTATGGTTGAAATAGAATGAGATGATGAATAAGTGAATTAACATTTGGTCAACATTTCAGTGACATAAGTGCGCAGAATTTCGACAATTTTTCCACGATGCCATATCCACTGGAACAAAGAAGAGATATTTCGGAGTGCTATTTTTCAGTTAATAAAAATCTTGCTGAAACACTTCATAAGTTTATGAGGAGTTATCCAGGCAGGAGATTACCAAGTAAGAATTATGTAAAGTATTTGGCTGCTAAATTTGACAGAACTTTCAGTTTGTCGAATATCAAGAGAATAGTGAGAAGGCAAGACAACGAAGACTAGGAACTTCTTGTAATCCAGTATTTTGTTGAGGATCCTTCACGGTCAATAAGAAATGCAGTGAGAGAGTTTGGTTTCAGCTATTATTTTGTTCAACATACCTTAAGGAAATATAAATATAGGGATTTCAGAATCAGACCATGCCACAAACTCAATTATGATGATAATGAGAAGCGGATTGAATTTTGTCTTGTCATATCTGAAAGATAAAATTTAAGTAAGTATAAGTGTAAGTGTTTCAGCAAGATTTTTATTAACTGAAAAATAGCACTCCAAATTATCTCTTCTTTGTTCCAGTGGATATGGCATCGTGAGGAAATTGTCGAAATTTTGCGCACTTATGTCACTGGAATGTTGGCCAAATGTCAATTAACTTATTCATCATCTCTCTCTATTTCAACCATAGCTAAGTTGGACCAAATATTAATATTTAATTTTGCTGATATTTCGTCAAGCCCTCGATAGAATATATGAAAAGTATATATCTCCGGAATCAGAAGAGATAGCTCTTTCGAAATATGCGATGATATATAGGGGGTTCCATTTGAAAAAAAAATTTTTTTCACAAACCCTGTATATGAAATGATAGAATCAAGCAGAGAACACATTTTCTAGAAGGAAAGGACATCTAATTCGAAAAACTTTTTCCAAATTCCGAATATCTTTTTTCGTTTTCGAGATATTAGCTGTTGAAGTCGAGAAATCCATAGTCAATACATGATACAAACCTTCTGTCCAGACTCTATGACGAAATTCAAATCTGTCAATACGAATAGATCACCAGGCCCATAACGCAGTGAAACGTTCTTGAATTCGATGCTTCCAGAATGGGGCCAGTTAATCGGTTTATTTGTAGCATTGAGATTCGACTCTGTTTCTTTTTCTAGCTCACTATATTGAATGATTCTCTCAACGCTAGTCATATAGGCAGCCAATTCTGCTCCTAACCTGACTCCGAACTGTAACATGCTAGATAGAATCAAACTCGTTGAAACAACTAACCCAACATCACCACCCATTATCTGTGCTGAAATTCAATATGCCATTATGAAAATTCAACTCATAATCTACCATTTACCATCTTCGCGAAGAAGAAATTGAATGGTAACAAATCCTAAGAATACAGAAGTCAGGCAGTCTAGATAAAAACCCAAGGCTTCACTGCATACAATCAACATATAATATGGCCCAGTGTGTTGATCCTGAAGGACATCGAATTCTTGAATAACAATATCTTCTGCTTCTTGTGATCTTATCGTTGATAACCCATCAAAAGTTTCAGTCAAATGGGAAAGCATTGGTGCTTTCGCTGAAACCCAATATTTGTATATCGATATTTCTACCACTGAATCAGTTTCTCATAATAGGTATGTCAATTATTTTTTTCGAAAAATAATCAGTCTTATTCTCATTCAATATGAAATTTCCATGAAAACTATGAGTTATGAAGTGATGAAGTGAGCTTCATCATAAATGTATTCGCAACCTCGTATTCCGGAGTAGAATGGACTATATTAATATCGAATTTTGCTATTGTAAAAGACCCATTAGATGATCAATGTATTGCATACATAATAAGCCAAATTGTGAACTCATGAAGAGGAAGTCCAATTATCGAACTAGATAGATGATAACTGAATTCGGTGACTAAGGCAGAATTTTTATGACCAACTCGATGTTCATAATTATTACATATCGATCAACATTCATTGTTCAAGTATTATAAGATGGGTTCTTCGAAGATGTGCATTTTCGAAAAAGTGCTGAAAATTTTTTGTTTGTTGTTCATTGTTTCTAGCAAAACTCCTTTCTCTCATGATGGGAACACTCCAACAGCATTGGAAATGTCATGGAACTCCTCGTTTCAGGAATGAAAATATTGGTATAATATATAACAAAGCATAATAATGTGATGGGTCGAAATGTAGTGGGTAAGAGCCAACGAATATTATACCTTATCTACAACTATTCAAATATCAAAGTAGCTTTGAGAGATCAGGCATATATCTTCGAAAATAAGAAAGGTTATTTTGCGAAATTACTGAATCTGAGTTGAAATACCAAATTATGTCGTCGAAATCTTCTTGACAAATATTCGAAATTCCAATGAACAGCTGATAAATAATTATAATAATTTTTATTGTGAAAATTGTTGTGCCAGTCAATTTTGTTCACTATCTATCTGGCAGCATAGCACCTGTCATAGCTCATGCTTGACTTGACAACTGACTGCAAAGCAGGTAAAGATGGCAGTGATGGCACAGCAGATTGAAATAAAAAAGGTTCGTTAATCGAAAAGATTTTGATACTGAGAACCCATAACGCAACAGAAATATCATAAACAAAACTGAATTCAACTTTCAGTCAACCTCACCAGGTATTATATACTACTTCAGTATGTGAAATCAATCATATTATTGCAGATTATGAATAACTGCAGAATAATGATTTGAGAGACTTTTTTTTGTCGAGGTAAACTTGACATGTATCAATAAGAATTTTGTCACCTGGCAATTGATGAAAAAAAAATGCATCTGAAAATAACAATTTTTTCTGGCAGTTTTTTGAGTTGAATTATCTAATGGCAACAAAATTGGAATTATAAATGTCAAGTTCACTTCGACTAAAAAACAAGGTAGAGTGTCAGACAATTTGATTCATCAAACATTTGTTTATGGCTGGTGGTCTTGCTTTCAGTTCCGTTATTGTCGCTGGAAATGTTAGAGCAAACTTTTTTCGCTGTCATAATGACAAAATCACGAGGCTTGTGGGATTTTTCATACTTGAATTGAATTGTCCTATCAACAATGGGGTTCTATCTTTTGGTAACTCATCGTAGTCACTGTCGAGAACAAAAAACAGTGAGTTCTCATTTTTCTGTGTATTTGTAGAGTAGTGAATGAGAATATGAGAACCAAATAAGGTGAGTCTTTTGAGTTTATTGGAACTGCATGAATGGCTCGATAGTGGTATATCATTTCGATAAATGCATATTCGTGTAGAACGTGTCAGATAGTTTTCCTGAAAAAGTCACTGTGATTGAAAAGTACACTATTAGAAAACCTCAAAGATAGGAATATATTGAATTTATCAAAAATATAATAAATTTGCACTCAACTTTCTACGTTTCGAGGAATAATCTGTAGCAAGGAAAATTCATTTTTTATTTTCATAATGGAAAAGGAAGTTGATTTCTCCCCGAAACATCTAAACCACAGTGAGATTTCGATACTATTTTAATTCTCTCATTTCTCTCTTTCAAAGTGGAAACCTCAAAGATAGGAATATATTGAATTTATCAAAAATATAATAAATTTGCACTCAACTTTCTACGTTTCGAGGAATAATCTGTAGCAAGGAAAATTCATTCTTTATTTTCATAATGGAAAAGGAAGTTGATTTCTCCCCGAAACATCTAAAGCACAGTGAGATTTCGATACTATTTTAATTCTCTCATTTCTCTCTTTCAAAGTCCTTTGGAAGAATGCTGTCACGGTTATTGACTGAATTCCTCTTCAAGAATTCCTGATAGTGGAAATTTCACAAAAGGCAGAAAATTTTCGAGTACAATCATCAGATTTTTCTCTTACTGCACGTGTGTTGAAATGCTTATTTCCATAAAAAATCACCTCCAGGCACCGAAATTCATTCACCTAGTAGATGATATGCCATTTAGGAGTTTTCGGAATGAAATGATGCCTGATATTCGTTTTCAGGTATTTATAACGTGATTCGGATCAAAAGAGGCCATGAGATGATGAATTGAATGGAATCATCTATGAATGGCGAATTTCGTCCAACAAAATTGTTCTAATACTCCAGAATACGGAAGTGGATTACCAGAAGCGGGGTACACCGTGATAATCAAAAATAATTTCGAGAGTTTTTCCCCAAAATAGAATACACGAATGATGTCCATGATGCTCAATAAGACAGACACTGAATTTCCAACACCCTGTTATTTTTTTCCGTTCAGTTGCGGCAAGGAAGTTATACAGGATTATTCAAAAATTTTAGCGATAAATAACATGGATCCATGGATGATGAATGACGAATGAAGGAAGCAAGAAATACATCTTCTCCTGAAAATTTTGTGAAACATTGATCAACTCAAGCAACAAGATTACAAGCACCAGAAGTATCAATGAGTTATGCAATGTTGCCAGATGTTCATAATAGTTGAAAGATGTAGTATGATTGGAGCGCATATTTTTGAAAAATCTTCTTTTTTTCTTTCGGATCCATCTCGTCATTATGTCCCATAAAACACCACATTTCATTCATTGCCCCAATTTCGGAAACATCCTGTATGAGTTTTATTCTTGTCATCTTACCTACTCCTTCGAGTCTGGTTAGATCTCTTGTTTTATTCAGAAACATGTTCTTGAAATAGTAAAATATTGCCCCTAAAATGACAGCAGGCAGAATCATCCACGGTGTAACTAAGAAGACGACGAAAAGTATTCCGACCATCAGTAAATATGCCTGTACAGCCTCCAACATGAGAAATGGTATATATTCATCTACCAAACCCATGTCTTTTGAAAATCTATTCAAGATACGTCCTGAAACATAAAGAAAATGGAAGAGAGAATATGATAAAAAACTATAAACTTAGTCAAAACAAATTTTTAAAGTGTCGTATCTTCATTTAGGAAACCGAATATTGCAATGAAGTAGAAGTAGTGATATCTACAATTCTTCATTGAAAATCTCATCCTCCGAATCTATATATAGGTACATCATCAGCAGAAGAAAAGAACTAGAAAAGATGAAATTCACATTATAATTATCATTATTCATTGGTGAATTGAAAATGCTACATATCAAATAAAGCTGTGATAAGGGGTGATAAAGGCTACTCGATAATCTATTTTGAAGTGGGTAAAAGCCGAAATCTAATGAAGAAGATTGGACAAACTCTTGGATATTATCCATAATAATTCTGCTCGGCACCCAGAACTCCCTATATAGGTTCGAAATCATTCGAGATTTTCATTAGAGAAGAGTACCTTGTAAGCAACATTATATTGACCTCGCGAAGTGAATATAATTTCAGTTTTTGAATATTGCAACAGCCAGAATAAGATTGTAACAACAAGAGCACATTATAGTTTAGCTCAGCGTGTTTGTTTATTTTCATATTTTTATATCATCAAGCACGATGCGTTTCAGTTTTGCTGCAGAGGAACACCAGAATAATGGCCGAAAGCAAAAAATACAAATCTCCGAATGTAAAAGGACTAAAAGAAGAAGCTTAAGTAAAAGTAGACTCCCTCATGCCTTCACTTTTGAACAAACTTGTAACATGACTGTTACATCCTTGTTTTGTGATATTACAAACTTGTTTTGCTGAACGACTACTATCATCTTCATTTCACCACTCTTATGAATCAACTTGAGTATTTCTGCCCAAATATTGGTTCAATATATGTCAATATGATTCAATTAATCATGTATAATATATTCTATAGTGATTTACCATTGTTGTTCATTTTATTGACCACTTATGGAAATTACTTTGAGTATTTGCTTCCCATTAAAATTTTATTCCACATTGAGCTCCTATTTCGGAGTAAAAATAACCGTTTATATTCACATTTTTTGTCATTTTATTCAATGTTATACAGTCACACACGCCATCAATTCAGTTGGATATAAATTCGAATCCACTGTGAACGCGTGAAATGAATAATTATATGAATTACCTAATGGATTTTTATCGAAGAATCTCATAGGAGCACGAACAATATTGATGAACATATTGTTATGGAGCCCTATAGACGTATTCATCGCTATTTTGTAAAAAAATAACGTTCTAATTGTAGTGAGGAGCATAGATCCAATGACTAGAAAAGAATACACGTACATGTAATATTCTTGCGAAAAATATGGTTTTTCCTCAAGTTCTTTTTTGAATGAACGATTCACTGTGAAAGTGTGGTTCACTGATTTTGCAGTTATCATTTCCACCTTTGCTACTTCATCATTCGTCCTGAAAATCAAACAAGATTTTGAAAATCTACCTCAACTACTTGCAACTAATTGGACCTCACCATTTTGCTATCCATATATCAGAGGCATGAGTGATGATTTGGGCAGCCAAGAAAATAACGAGGAAGATCATCAGAATGCAGATATTTGTTCCAGTTCTGAAATATTTAACGTACACTGAGGTCTTTATGGTACCTTTTCCAATAAGTTCCTTATCTTCTGCAGAGTCATCTTTATCCATTGCATCTTCCACCAAATCCTTGAAATATTTTTATTAATGATCGTTTTGAAGTAAAAATAATGAATATGTTATTACCTCGATTATTCCTGATTCAAGTTCCTTCATAGACTTGTTCACAGAATAGTCATTTACTTTATCAATTCTATTTGTCTTTTCAATACTGGGTAGGACGTTCTCTGGCAGTTGATTGAAAGCTCCTACGAATACAATTTCTCCCTACAAACAGCCAATCAAAATTTTCTTCTTCATTAATTCATTACTCACATTATTCATAACGACCACTATGTCGGCTTGTTCTAGATACTGCATTTGGTGAGTAATCAGTATTCTCGTTTTATCTCCCAGATACTCTTTGATACACTTATTGAACAGATGTTTGGAAACTTCCGGATCCACGGCTGATAGTGGGTCATCAAAAAAATATATGTCAGCTTCTTTGTAGACTGATCTAGCTAAATTTATCCTTGCTCTCTGACCCCCACTCAATGAATGTCCCTTTTCCCCAACCAATGTTTTATCTCCATTAGTGAACTGTTCAAAATCCTTCTCCAGTGCGCAAGCTCCAATGACATTTCTATACCTGAAGATTATATGATCATGATAGGAGAATTCATATTTTCTATATGATGGTTTCATCAAGTTCCAGACAAAAACCCAATAGATCATTGGTTTGAAGGTATCACTCGTTCAGATAATTCATCACATCAAGCAAATTACCTTTATGGAGTATTCTGTTCAATAGTCTATGCACATTTGTATTATATTATACAGTTATATTCCTAAAATTGAGCAGAAAGAGCGATTATTTTTGGGATTTCGAGAATTGTTGTTGTTATGATATGATGTTTTTCGTTCGAATTTTTCTGGGGAAAGTATGATCAAAATATTGTTGAATATCAAATTGTTTGGAGGTTCTCTCATCATAGATATATATATGAAGGTTTGTTCGTATCGATTGACAACATCTGCGTTATTCATCATATTTAGTGAAATATCTTTCATTCTGTCTTTGTCCATTCTCACAATATTGCAATTTGTTATAATTATACAGGACAATCGATATTGTTGATCGAGATCAGAAAAATTCTAGCAAAACGTTCTTGATTCATACGTGTAGAACACTCAGTATACAAAATGGATGAATATAATTCAGTATCTAGATATTATATGGGCACATAAATGGCATTATGAAATATCTTACCTTCTAGTTTGAAATGGCTCTCCGAAAGTTATATTATTTCTTATACTAGAGATGAATAGCCATGGCTCTTGAGAAGAATATGAGATTTTTCCTCGAATTTCCTTGTGACCAGTTGATACGCACATATCACCAAGAAGTAAATGGAGAAGTGAACTTTTACCGGAACCAACATTGCCTATGACACAACATAGATAACCAGAGGGAATGGTCAAAGTGATATCAGATAATGTATTCCTCTTCGCCTCCAAGGACCAACTGGCAGTAACATTTTTCATTTTAACTAATCCAACTTCGATATCATTAGTTTCATTGAGCATAGCAGGAGAATTTTCTTCAAGGATTAAAAATTCATTCAATCTTTCCATCGTAGTATTGGCCTCAGCATAAGCTGCTATTCCGAAAGGAAAGTATACTGCCACGTACAATGTAATAACAACAAAGAGTTGAGCCACACAAAAAACAGTGTCGCTCTTCAGGGTATTTCCAAACATCACGTATAGAATGAGCGTTAGATATAAAGTGAATCGTTCTGTAAAGGAACCAAGCGCCGCTGACAAGCCTTTTATGTAAGAAATTTGTGTGATAGATTCAATCTCATACCTAGAATAGTATAAATAATAGGATCTAGGCTAAATGATAGTGATTGAAAACTTACTTTCTGGCCATTGCTACCACCTTCTCGAATGGTTTTTCCCATGCATACATTTTTATAACCATCACACCTGAGATAAGTTCACTCATTAGTTTGACCCTATAATCAGTTCTCTGGGCCGTTTTCATTCTCAGCTTTCCTTGTATGCGGGATAAACATGCTGAAATCATAATTATTTCAATCACTTGCTGAAATGAATGAGCGTTCTAGTTATACATCGAATAAAACAGATTACATCTCAATCAAAGCTTATTTTTGTTTCAATTGTGGATCAGTAATCCTGAGGGTATATCTGGGAGATAGTCGCACCTGACGGTCTTCACGATTTCACTGTCGTCGATTATTCAGAACAATAACTTTGTGATACAATGATACAAATAGTAATGGTTATTATCGTATACTCAAATATTGTATTCTCAAAATCAGGCAACAGGCATTCATGTGCAAAATCTGAATGATGTCATTCAACGGACAAATAATTATAATGAAAACTTCATCTACCTTGCAAAGGAAGAGCATTAATGAGCATCCCAATCATCCCAGCGAAAGATGACACACCCACAATGCGGTGTAAAATGTACAGGGACCCGAGGAACTGAAATGGCATGAACCAAACATAGTGCAGGAAGTGAGATGCCATATCAAATCTGATAACATCATTCGACATCAGGTTAACTACTTGACCTGAAGCTGTTTTCTTCAGGGCAGTGTGACTCAATTTCAGAACCTTTGGAAAGTAATAAAACAGTTTTACTGCCAACGGAATAACCGTACAACATATCTGTGGCCTGGGATATGTATTTGGGGAATATATTCAAATCTCGAAATCCTATGGAACTGAGTATGAATTACCCCAAATAATTAGTTTATTCAATGTAGACTTATCATAATCATCTGCAGAACATCATTTTCAGGCATAATCAGACCAAGTTATTTTGTCGCGTAGGTCTTTTTAGATATCAGGAACTTATTGAACAGTGGCCAATTCTCACATTTGCAAAATAATCGTCTAGTTGTTGCGATAACATCCTTGCATTTCACCATTCACGATCTATTATTATATGATAGCTGTATGATAATTTTTCGAATTTCGGCAAACTTAATTATAGAACTCTCAGATCTGATATTCAAATCGATATAATTTATGGATCAATTTTAAGTTAGCCGTCACATTGACATACAGATCAGTATATTTATACCTGCTCAGCTAGAATGAGCAAGTCAATAAATGTACCGACAATGGAAATAATTTAGGCACACTTATTTATTTGGAGACCCACAAAATAAACATAATCGAAATAATCATCACTTGAACAATTGCAATCTGAGAGAATATGGACATTGACAAAGAATATAGCATGAAATCAACTACAAGTCAACAATCACGAATATTGAACAATGTGCAAATTGAATCCGGTTAAAGCCAGCTATGTTTGCAGAGCCTTTCACGGCATAGACAGGCCAACTAAAAGTTGAAACGACACTGCACATAAGAGCACTACACTGCTTCGAGTGCTGTGTATTTCTCATTTCACTCAAAATGTTGGTTTTGTACAAGTTTACATAATTCAGCAAATATAAGTGTATTTACATTCATATCGAATCATGAAATCTACCAACATCTAGCTGATCTGCTTGCAGCAATCAAAATATCCTCAATCCATCATACTAAGTAATATGTATATCAAGATATTTGCCATCTGAATCCTCAGTTACCAAATTGATCCATCTCAAAAGACCAAATTAGCTTATCTCGTCTTCGAAATTATCAGTCTATCAATACCCAACTATAAGGTTAACCAGTATTCATGAGGATAAATAATTTTCCTCTGAATCTTTATTCATAAAGAAGACAATATACAAAATACGGTTAGGTCGGCGATCATCCCTGAAATGGAGAATTCTATTCAGATACCAGATTGAATCATCTCAAAAAAAATTATGTCGACAGACACTATCACGAGGGACGGTCAGCTATACCGGGTGTCCCATTTTAATCTTTATTTGGAAATTTCTCGAAATGTATGCATCTGACAAAAAAAATTGCCAAATAAAAGTTGTATGGTTTGGAGGGGGACGTCTGGTTATAAAACAAGTTTCACCCCCTGACCCCCAGGGGAGTGGGAAATGGAGGTAACATTGAAATCTTTAATGGAAACCCCTATTTTTAATTGCTGATTCTGGAAGAGCATTCAAAACTATGAAGCTTTTATTCGGGAACTTCTTTCTTATTTTCACAAGATGGCGCTGCGATCTTGAAAAACAATATTTTACTATTTAGTTTGTAGTTGGCCACCCAGATCACCCGACTTGACTTACCCAGACTTCTTTCTGTGAGGTTACATCAAAAACATTGTGTTTCGCGAACCCCCAACCACACGCGAGAATATGAAAGATAGAATTAGAGGAGCGTGCATGGCTTTAACGAGTGAACTTGTGTATTCAAGAAAATGGAGGTCATTTCGAACACTTGATAAAGTAGTCAATCTCACTCAAAACCAGCTTTAGTCTGACCTAAATGATACCTTAATTGCTGAACCGTGCTTATTTTTCTCTTTTCCATGTAGAGGTGTCAAGGTGAGTAAGTTCGTTTAGCGTTAATTTGTCGTGTAAATATCACCACAATGGCGTTTGTCTGGGAAAATATCACACCCTACACTCTTCCTCGTCTTCAGGGGGTTGAAATGTGTAAATAGTGAAACATAGTTTTTTACGATCGCAGCGCCATCTTGTGAAAATAAAAAAGAAGTTCCCGAATAAAAGCTTCATAGTGTTTAATGCTCTTCCAGAATCTGCAATAAAAAATAGGGGTTTCCATTGAAGATTTCAATGTTACCTCCATTTCTTACTCCCCTGGGGGTCAGGGGGTGAAACTTGTTTCATAACTAGACGTCCCCCTCCGAACCATACAACTTTCATTCGTCAATTTTTTTTGACAGATGCATACATTTCGAGAAATTTCCAAATAAAGATTAAAATGGGACACCCGGTATATGTGGTTCATTTCAGGTTTCAGGGGAACTGGAGAATCCGAACTTATGTGTTGATGAAATATTCATATATGTTTATAATTATATCCAGGCAGTTTCAGATTATTGCGTGTTTCTTCGGGTACATAAATACACAATAACAATCTCCTGAGCATAAGTTCATTGTGAAAAATATATTTAGTTTCATTCTGCTCTCATTGCCATAGCAGACCGTTGTTATATTATATTAATTTAAATATTATACTCACTTTTCTATATAAAAGCGAACAGCATGCTATTCTCACTCTCATTCCAACCCGTTGAACTCCAATCGAAATATAATGGAATATAATCACGTAAATGAAAGCCAATAGGACCAGAACTATAACAAGCATCCAACCATACTGTTTTCTAGTTATTGTGATTGGCCCAACATCGTAGGATTGAGTCTTGTTTTCTTCAAAGTATTGAATATACTTCGCTAATAATAATGGATGCAACGTCCTGAAATCAGTTAATGCATCTGATCTGTCTATTCTATCAGAATCAAATGGACGTGAAACATGACATGATCTGAAACATAGTTTGTAGGTCCAGTGCTGAGACCAACAAGAAAATGCAATTAAAAACAATATTGGAAATACTATCACGAGTATCTTGATCTTATTAACTAAATAATGTCCTCTAATAATACTACTGATGTTTGCATCTACCTAATGATACTTCTAATCAGTTCTCATCTGAGTATTTCATGAAATAATGAATGGGAGTCATCTGTCAATTTCCACTTCAAAAATAATTCCAATACCTACCTCCTATCCCTATCCTCGCTAGGATTGCACGATGTTTTTTGAACATTATAGGGATTCCCTTCGTGCGCTCCAAGCGATAAAAAAAAAACAACTGGTGTCTCAGAAGGTGAGGGCATATGTTGAAGAACGTTCGGGCGTGATTCATGAGTAGCTGCCATGATACGGTTGTCTTGAATATAACTAGATACCTCAGACAATTGCTCACCTCATAGAACCATTAATAAATACAAATATGCCATATCTTCCATAGGATTTCCAGAATGTATTGAATAGTGCACGCTTCAAACTAGGCCTTTCTGATCCAGTTTTCGCCCTATAGATTTCTTTTTTCCAATTCCTTGAACAATCAATATATAAATTTGATATTCGATGAAATTTTCTAGTTGACTTCACCCTTCCAGTTGATCACCGAGTGAACTTGATAAATTTTTTTCTGTGGCATTGTATATATCTTCAGCTGCGATGCTTCCATATGGATTTTTTCTGATGAATGGTATAATCCACCTGCGAAACGAGCATTTATAATGAAAAAGAAACAGTATCATTGAAATATCAATTGAAACATTTATTGTGAATATGATGAAAAAGTTGCATTTTCCTGTGCGGGAATTTGCACTCGATTTACCGATTTGATAACGAGATAAGAATTATTTCATCCGATACCATTTGAATGGTAGATCTCAAAAAGCAAATGAAAGGGGAAAATATCCCTTTCGCGAATATTCAAACGTGCCGCGATTCAAACAGATCTGACCCAGATAGCACACAATCGCCTAGGGTCATCCTCAATGTGTCGCCAAACGCCTAGAGAGGACGTTATATTTTTTACAACCTAAGAACATCATCAGGCGTAGATTTAGCGCCGTAATTGTCGTAGGAAAGTTCTTTCAGTGACAGCCTGAGGCTGCAGCGGATTTCGTGCCTACGGATGTCTTCAGATGATATTCCATGAAATAACGTGTCGACTAAGCCAAAAGGAAGAAGAAGAAGAACTAGAAATACTAGAAGTGAGGTTATGTTTGACGATAATATTTCTCTGAGAAATTGATAAGATAATAACAGGTAATTAATTGATCAAATCATTGATAGTAGGAACTAGACATGAAATATTAAATATATTATTTTATTCCAGGAGGTTATTGAGAACACAAACTTGATATCATCAGAGCAGAGATGTTTGATTCCAAGATATTTTGGCTTTTTCGGAATCTATCAAACATTGTATGAAGGCATGAACTTTCAGTGGATTCAATAAAGATAGGTACCTACCTGAATCAACTCATTGATAATAGGTACTGGACAGGAAATATTAATAAATTATTATTTGTTCCAGGAGGTTATTGATGAGAACACAAACTTGATCATTATATCATCAGATCAGAGATGTTTGATATCCCAACATATTTTGGCTTGTTTGGAATCTATAAAAGATTGTATGCAGGCTTTAACTTTCAGTATAGATACAATAAAGGTACTAGGTAGGAAGCTAATCATATTGAGAGTAGGTATACCTACTGGACATAAAATATCAGTTCATTATTTGTTTCAGGAAGTTATTGAGAACACAAACTTGATGCTATCATATTATCAGAGCAGAGATGTTTCATTCCAAGAAATTTTGGCTTCTTCAGAATCTATAAAAGATTGTATATGCAGGCTTGAACTCTCAGTAGTTACAATGAAGGTAGGTACCTAAATCAAAACATTGATAGTATAGGTAGGTACTGGACATGAAATAATAATAATTTATTTCAGGAGGTGATTGAGAACACAAACTTTTGATGCTATCATCAGAGCAGAGATGTTCAAATCAAAGATATTTTGGTTTCTTCATATTCTATAAAATATTGTATGCAGGCTTGAACTCTCAGTAGTTACTATGAAGGTAGGTACCTAAATCAAAACATTGATAGTATAGGTAGGTGCTGGACATGAAATGATAATAATTTATTTCAGGAGGTTATTGAGAACACAAACTTTTGATGCTATCATCAGAGCAGAGATGTTCAAATCAAAGATATTTTGGTTTCTTCGGATTCTATAAAATATTGTATGCAGGCTTGAACTTTCAGTAAATTGAGCATCTGAAAGTATTTCCAGGGTTCAGAAAACACAAATGATAACAAGAAGAGAACTTACAACAGAATTAGAACAGAACAAAAATCATCATAATGTATTATTATGTTGATGATGAGTTTTCTCTGAGGAAGAAAGGAACAAATAAGGTAGGTGGGTCAAATCTTAGATTTCACATGAATATAAGATATCTAATCATTGTTTGTTTTAGAAAGTTATGGAAACACAAACTTGATGGCATCTATAAAAATTGTATGAAGGCTTCAACTTTCAGTAGATTCAGCATCCAGAGTTGAGAAATCAAAAACAACATAGAGCAATATTATTGCCAATGGACAATAACTTCTAGTAGTGCTCAACAAGAAGCTGAGATACATTTTTTCAAAACGAAATTCAAAAATCTTCACAATGAATTATAAATAATAGAATGTAAGTTTTTTATTTGAACATATTATTCCAGTGAAATTTTGCAAATATCATGATATCCATATTTTCTCAATAAAATTCCATTTATATCAGCCTATCCCTGGATATTTTTGAATACTACCTAAAAATGTTCCCAAAATGTCCTATACATGTCCCAGAAGACCTTATAGGGATGTTCTAAGACGTTATTAGCATGTAGAGAACGGTAACAGGAGGACGGTCTAGGGATGTCGTCAGGCTCGCCCTCGACGACATGAGGACATTATTGTGAAAGCCTCAGAACGGCCTCAAAATGTATTTGTGCTATCTGGGGAGTTAGTGACAGAGCAGCACTTTTTCCGTGACTATTTCACCCTCGTCGAAAGATAATATTCGATGGACCAGTGTGAAACTCATGTGCCTCATGTGGTGATCCACTACAAGTATCCTAATCCACATGATGAGTTTCACAATGGTCCATCGCATATTCTAGGAAGTAATGACGCTCTGCCACTAACTCACCTACTGTGACTGGGCAAAGGCTGTTCAATAAACTTCTGGCCGACATTAAAGGTGGATTCATGCAACATCAACTAAATTACAATGAATTTAAGATTTCAACGAATTTTAAATTAAAAATATATGGGTGTTCATGCAATAACCTTTCATCAGCTGTTTATTTTTTTTCCAGCGCGGCTAGTTATCATTTGGCGCATGCGTAGTTGTGAATTATGGAAGAAATTAATTTCTTAGTTGAATGTTGGCCATCTTTCTTAGTTTCAATTTTAGTTTTAATTTTTTAGTTTCTTGCATGAGCACCTACATTACATTTCATAGTTTTATATTATTGGTTTAAGTTTAAAATTCATTTAAGTTTTAAATTTTGCTTGCATGAATCCACCTTAAATCATGTGTGCTTTCAATGTAAAGCATTCGAGCAATGCCTGAGGAAATACCTAATAAAGGGTGGATATTACTCCTTAAATGAATTTTGAAGTCTTAGTTTCAGTTTTATTTTAGTTAGTTGGTTTTATTTATTTATAAATTTGAGGCCACCCAACAGACAGGTGTTTCACTGGCCAATAATAGAGTGGCACATTATAACATACAATTTATCATATGGTACTGGGTATGTTTTCTATAGTTATAGAATGCTTAAGATTAGTATTTGTGCTTCGTGACTAACAGTACAAGGTTCGACAATGTTATAACTATTTGGCAATATATTCTGTATTTAAGTAATTAAAAAGGACTAATTATACAGAACTTGTTTGACTCCATGTGTGAACCTGATAAATGAGGAGCTGAATACATCAAGATCATTGTTTGATTTACATACACTATTGATACATCTTATTGACGGAGAGTTGAGCAGAAAGTTTGTTGAGCAATGGGGAACTCTCAAAAGTTGTCTTCCAGTCTATCAATTTAGCAGTTGTAGAATGGATTCCATATATTAGATGAGTATTCGATAATAGGTTTCACAATGCTATTCAACAGAAGTATTCGTCTTTGACTAATTCTATACATGTTACTGCATGTCACAAAGAAAATGAAGTATAACTATTATTATTATTATTATTATTATTATTATTTTAAATTCATATAGTTCCAGTCACGACCCTGCGGCCTCCGACGTCACGCAGAGTCGTGCTGGATAAAATCCAGTGACTACTCCTCACAGCCTGTGAGGTGAGTAATCACTATTATTATTATTATTATTATTATTATTATTATTATTATTATTATTATTATTATTATTATTATTATTATTATTATTATTATTATTATCATTATTGATTTAGATCAGTTTTAATCTCGGCACGTTTGGATATCCGCGAAGGCGACACCATTCCTTTTTATTTGCTTCTTGTTTCAAAATCACATGGAGAAAGTATGTCCAGAAGTATGTCCGGAATGATAGAAAAAAACAAACACGCTGTGCCGTGGAATTGGCTCATACTGAGTGGTGGCACAAGTTGGTTTTTGAAATCTACCAATCAATTGGTATCGGATGGCATAATTCTTATCTCGTTACCAAATCCGAAATCGAGTGTAAATTTTCGCACAGGAAAGTGCAATTTTTCAATCATTTTGCTTAGGGTAGTGATTAGCACAGGTACTGTTCGATTAACTGCAATGCTTCCACATGCCTTTGAGGCATATCTATAGGTATCTTCATGAGATGACGGTCAGAATTTGCAGTCGGCTCTTGGACTATAACTGTATCAGATGAAGTCAATACATTGAACGATTGATCAGAAGTATACCGGGTCTCCCAGTATACCTGTTCCAATGAATTATCTCAGCCATTTCGGTGAATGAAAATTCGAAAATTTCATTTTCTCCAATTCGTTCAAAGAAGCTTCAACTGAGAAAAACAAAAATTGAAAGTCACTTACGGTTTGCCCAGAAGTGACTCTAACTTTTTAATTTCGAATAGCATCCTGTATAATTATATTTGTCAATTTTTTATTTCTACTTAAAATTATCGTTGCAACAATGTATCACACTTCGTATTTTGAATTTGATTTGATGGCGAAAACGACAATTGAAATTTCAAATTGAGCGAATTGCAGTAGGCAACGATATTTTTGAAATCTTAATTTTGACTTCAATAATAATTTCAAATTATCAGAATTGTAGTTGATCATGTAATTTCCTAGTTTTTTGCTTTCGAAATGGCTGAGATAATCCCGGTATATAAGTATGACATGAATTCGACTAGTGTGTACAACCACTTTGACACGTATTGTGCTTGGTTTATTGGTGAGCGATTTTGGTGATATCGTCACGTATTACGACCAATCGAAAATTGCCAAAATTGCAATAGACTGATTTGCATCAGTTTTCTTCTTGTATAAACCTGTTTTGTGAATGTTCCTACCAGACATATGATTGTGTTAGATACAATTTTTCATTCATTTTGTGACAAATCATACACATAGTACGATAGCTAAATAGTTTTCTCCTACAACTGGAAGTAATTTCTGCCCAATATATTTCAGGGATAATACTTACTC